TTCAAAGTGAGGCAAAGTGCAAAGCCATTGATAAGAAACTGTTTTTTTTTATTCTCAAGCAAATAGAAATCTTTTTTTTTTTCAAGGAAGGTTTAGCCTCGTCTTGAAAGTGAGAGTTTTTTGAACTCGGAAATGGCCTATTGAAGACTACTTAATATGCTCAATTTTGGAGGATGAACAGGTTGTATTGGGAGAAAGTGAAAATGGTTAGTGTGAAAAGTATAGACTTGAACTATTGACCATAATGTTATTAGCTACATTTTTAAACAGTCAGTAATATAGAATTTACGTTCTCCTTCATGTTTGAATGTAGACCCCAGCTGGGTAAATATCGAACGTGAATTGGTATTTTTATTTAGTATCACAGGCGTATCAACGAGCCAAGTGGTAAATGTTAACTGTCATGTCATACTGAATTGTACTTCTCAAGATTTTCTATCCAGGAAAAATGCACGGCCGTACTGAACTAAGAGACGATGCGTTAAATTCAGTTTTACTTCACGCCTTTGAATTTTAGATTTAGTAATAAATAAAGATAAATTCCTACACTTTTATAATCCCATTATATCGATACCATTTAGCTATCCATCTTGGGATAGAGGCACGCACAGTTACGATTATTATCATTTTTGTGCTTTGTAAAGGTGGGTTTCATTTTTATTCAAGCATTTTCCATTTTTGATTTTAATTTAGAAGTGCATTAAAATACGTTCTCAAATAATTATGTAATTAATGTGTTCAATTCAAGACTTATTATCACTTGGTATCTGGCCAGTTCATGCTTTTAACACTCCCCCATGGACTGCTACCGTAGAGCCGTAAACGAGTACAGCCAGCGTCGTGCTATTGGAAGGTCCGCTGTCATCTCCCCTGGTGATGTGTCTGCATGCTGGGTATTCAACCTTGGGGTGTAAATACCTGTAGTATTAGAGCACCTTGTGAGTTATGTTCGGCTGGACTTGTTCCTTAAACTGCTGGAGAACAGTGCAATACCATCAGGTGCTGTCATTTCTGGCAGGGTTAATGAACTCATCACCTTCAGTTCCATCATGAAAACGATATCCTTCCTTTTTCTACATAATTCCGGAAATAAGTCGTGCAGGGCTAGTCCCCCGTAAAGACTGCTAGGACCGGATTGTAACAGTTCATAGCAAATCACTTGCCTTCGAAAACTACAAGACAACTTCGAAAAAGACAGAGGGCAGCCGCGCGGCAGTCTACTATTGACTTCATGACGGCCTCTGGTTCTGATTATTGTCGCTTGTCTGCCTTCAAAACCCTTGTCATCTCAACATATAATGTGCGTACACTTTTCCAGACAGGAAAATTACATCAGCTGTTCACAGGCTGTGCGGATGCTGGTATCGACATGATCGGCATCCAAGAGCACAGGCTCTTCACCACCAACCCAACAGAAGAACTTTGGTCTGAGGACAGGAACTGGGTGTTATTTATGGACCTGCCACTAATCTGAGAGTAGGTGGTGTTGGTTTTGTCATCTCCAAACCAATCTATAGGTGCATCCAGAAGGTCGAAGTCATCTCAGAAAGAATCCTCCATGCAACATTCCACGGGAATCCCAGGCTTTCCATTACTGTCGTGTATGCTCCAACAGAATGTGGTCCATCAACAGCTAAGGATGACTTCTATGCTTCTCTGGCAGAACATCTAGAACAACTCAAGAGACATGACATTAATCTTGTCGTTGGGGATTTCAATGCCAGAATAGGTACAGATAGCCGCCATACTCACCCTGAAGTTGTCGGGAGGTACTGCTACCATGATCAGACAAATGATAATGGTGAGAGATTGGTCAACTTGTGCGTGGAGTACAACCTCCGTCCGGCACAGTCTAGATTTCCCCATCCGCTTGGTAGGCTGTGGACTTGGAATCACCCTGCAGGTTCAAAACACCAGCTTGACCACATTCTAATCAACAGCAAGTGGGTCAACTCTCTGCGCAACTGTCGGGCTTACAACCCCGTTAAACTGGACTCCGACCATCGTATCGTAAGCGTTCATCTTCTTGCTAGCTTAATTAAGATCAAATAAGAAGACAACGTGCAAAAGACCAAAGTTCAACTGGAAAAAGTTGCAGAATCCAGCCACCAAGAATGAGTTCCAGCTTGAATTATCAAACCGGTTCGAAGCACTTACATTGGATGACCAATCAATAGATTTATCGGAGCGGTACGAGTCTTGAGTCCACAGTAAGAGATGTGGCAGAGGAAGTTCTTGGCAAGCAGGGAACTCATGGCTTGCCCAGCTGGGTGTCTGAAGAAACCACCAAAATCAGAATACAAAGAGATGAGGCTAAGAAGAGATTCCAACTCACAAAGTCTCCTCAAGCCAGAGTAAGGTGGAGAAACCTTAACACCAGACTGAACGACTCCTACGAAGCGGACAAGACTGCTGTACTTAACAAACAATTGGAAGATTTGCGTTTAGTTGATGAGAGGGGTCATTACACAACCACTTGGAATATAATCCATTCGTTGTCTGGGAGGAACATCAAAACCAACGTCAAAGTGAAACTGAGGAATGGCGACCCACCCGAGAACGAAGAACATCTCCTTGAGGAGTGGAAGAATTACTTCAGTTCACTTTTGAACAATGACAGTGGCTTCACTCCAACAGAGCTACCTCTTTCGGCAAGTAATGATCTTCCCATCTGCACTGACCCACCCACCCGCGAGGAAACGGCTGAAGCAATTGCTGCTATGAAAACCAACACAGCAGCTGGCCTTGATTGTCCAATTACTGCAGAGGCTCTCCAAGGAGGTGGCGACCAGATGATTGATACCATCCATGCCTTCTGCTAGGAGGTGTACACGAACATGTCACCTCCTAAACAGTGGGTATCAAATGTCATCATCCCACTACCGAAAAAGGGTGATCTGTCTCAAATGACAAACTACAGAGGAATAACTCTAATGTCGATTGCTGCCAAGGTTTATAACAAAATTCTCCTTAACCGAATTCGACCTCACCTGGACCCTCTGCTACGAAAGAACCAGGCAGGTTTTTGTCCAGGTCGCAGCTGCGCCCAGCAAATCCATATTTTGCGAAGAATCATGGAAGGCTTTAGAGAACACCAACTCCCATTGATTGCCACCTTTTTGGATTTCAAGAAGGCCTTTGACTCCATCAATAGGTCTGTGATGTTCTCTGTTCTACGTCATTATGGCATCCCAGAAACCTTGGTCAACGCAATCCAGGTGCTGTATACCAACTCTAGCAGGTCAGTGATGGTTGATGGAAGTATTTCCAAACCATTTAGTGTTACCACAGGAGTGCGTCAGGGTGATGTATTAGCTCCATTTCGTTTTAATATCTTGGTAGACTACCTGCTGCCAAGGTCTACAGATGGTGACTCTGGAGTGCTGACTTGCCCTCGTAAATCAAGTAGGTACCCTGCAAAAGTTTTAAATGGCTTGGACTTTGCAGATGACATCGCCTTGCTTGAGTCCTCCATCTCCCGTGCTCAGTCCCAGCTAACCAGAACTGCCAATGCTGCTGCTGACCTTGGACTTGTCATCAGTGCTTCCAAGACTGAGTATATAACGATCAACTGCTGTCCACAGACTCCACTAGAAGTATATGGTAGTACAATCAACCATGTACAAGACTTCAAATACCTTGGCTCCATGATGGCATCTAGTAGTGGGGATCTCAAAAGAAGGAAAGGGCTTGCATGGACAGCTTTTTGGAGGCTGGAACGTCTGTGGAGATGCCCTAACATCTCTATCTCCACCAAGATCAAGCTATTTAATACTACCTGTGTCACTGTCCTTCTATATGGCTGTGCGTCGTGGGTCCTGTCGAAAGCAATGGAAAGCGAGATCAATACCTTTGGTACCTCATGTTATAGAATTATGCTCAACATCAAGAAAATTGATAGGGTTTCCAATGCTAAAATCTATGATCTAACTCAGACTGCCCCGCTAGTAGAAAATGTCAGAACCCGCCAACTGAGGTTTCTGGGTCATGTACTCAGGATGCCTGATGATGAGCCATGCAAGGAGTACGCACTGTATATTGCACCACATGGGAAGAGAAAACCAGGAAGGCAACGAACCCTGTTTCTCAGATACATTCAACACCTTTTGGGAGACACAGACAACATGATTGGCCCGGGCAAGCTGTATGAATTGGTACAGGATCGTTGTGGCTGGAGGAAGCTCGTAGTCGCCTGCTCTGCAGCCGACCGATGATGATGAAGAAACATACCCGTCCTTCGTCGTAGGCGAGTGACCCTTTATTTGCGCATTTTCTTACTGTAATAATTACGAGACAAATTCTGATAAAAATCAGAACCTCAATTCTTCTCCGGGTATCGTGATAAGGCCTCCGCCATATGTAGAATTTATTGGCTCGTGATTCCCTCCCCACAGGATGGACTCAGTCCATTACACAACTGTTTTAAAAGCGTTAATCTTCTCATCATCATCATCATATACATCATCATCAAAAATGTCGCAATTCCAAGCACTTGCTTCTAAAAAAATGATTTCCTTGAAGAAATACCTCATTAAAAATTTTAAAAATAAAGTTTCAGATCTTCTAAATTTTCACAATTTTCAGTGGGTCACTCATCATATCCCCTTTTCCACACGCTCGCTTATTGCAAAAATTAAATGAAATTAATCATAAAGGTTAACTACACTACTTTCTTAATTGAGTCACGAAACAGAGTAACAATCAAGCCCCTAGCTTGACCCTGGCAGGCGCAAATTTCGCTTTTGTTCCTGATGAATACGAATGAGACGAGAATATACTAAAATATTTATCGTTTTACTTAACTATCGCCCCATGCAAGGGAGTCCAAGTCACTCTTGGATTCTGGATTCCACGCCATGGATTTCTAATTCCAGGTACTAAATACTGAATCTTCATCACAGGTACTTGGATTACATATTGCACTCTTTGCGCTCTTGGATTGCACTCTTTGGATTAGTTTCTTCAGCACTGAACCAGCTGATTCAGACTCAATCATAAGTTTATACGATTGTACTCAACTTTATGTTCGACTTTCTCCCTAGCTCTTCAATCTCTTTAAGGCCATCAAGAAATTTTTTAATCTTTTTTCGCAGAATGGGGTTACTATACTTAGCCTTTAAATCATTCTCCCTCATTTCGAAGCATTCTTTATTCCAGTCATTGAAGACGTCTTCCAATCGTCTAAAATTAATTTTTAAGTTGTCAAGAATATCATCTCTGATTCTTCTGAATCTTGCACTGGCGTACTGTAGTTCCCGATAAACATCTCTGGCATCACTTCCTGCTGTTGTTGAAGTTTGATGACCCAACTTTGAATCAAATGATGTGATATTATTGTTATTTGTTACTTCATTTGCAGGGAGATAGGGGATGCCATCTATATTGTCACGATGCCTCATCTAAGAAAAAATATCATTAAAAAATTAATGATATTTATTTTATTTCATCTACTGACTAGATGAATGTATTTTGCAAATTACATACCCTGGTAGCGACAACGACTCCCTCGTGACCCATGCTGACAAATGGAAAGAGTTTCAAGTCCTCCTGATCAAACGCAACACAAAAAAGCACATTGGTGATCGCTCTTCCATTAATTGTGAATGTGATTGGGACAATTCCTTTTTCAGCCATATGAAACATTACTGTACACCCAATTAAGTCGCCGCGATCAGCCATAGCATCTGAAAGGGATGATACGAATGAGACGAGAATAAACTAAAATATTTATCAGTTTACTTTGCTATCGCCCCATGTAAGGGTATCCAAGACAGTTTTGGAATGTCTGGATTCCACGCCATGGATTCCTAATTCCAGGTACTATATACTGAATATTGTCAGTGAAACTTGGATTCCCGGATTGCACTCTTTAATGGGATTCCGGATTCCTTGAGTTGTATTCCGGGTTCCAAAGCCTAGAATTCCGGATTCCATAAACAAACACCTCCCGGATTCCAGATCCCACAAGCAAACGTTTCCAGGATTCTAATATCCGGATTTCCGTACATGGGGCGATAGCTAGTACGGTGGAATGACTGAGAAGGCAATACGTTTGTAACTACATTCAGGAAAGCCCCTAATGGATATAACCTGAATCCCTCAAAATGAAGCTCAAGTTTGATCAGTAAGGTCTCAGTACTGCCCGTATTCTGAATTGAGGACACAGTCGACACTGAGTGAACTGTTTTTATAACAGGCGATAATCTTATAACCCTCCCTTCTGAATATCATAGGAAATTGACAATTTCAATAAATATACGAAATAATAATAATAAAATTCTTAGCTGATGCATCTACTACATTGCATTAAACAGCACTGGTCACCTTCAATTTCGACGATTGACTTCGCTACGGCAGCATCGAAAATGTCTCCTTTAATGTGATATCCGACACATTCGTTTTTCCATCCTTTAGCACGTATAATATGGCTTCGATAATTTTTCCTTGCTACTCCTACCTCTAGGCTTCTACGCTCCCCTGATTCAAGAATAAGAACCTATCGTGAAAATGAAAACAATTTCACAGCTAGGAATCTCACAATGATAGGTGAATAAGTGTCGGTGAACATGGCGCGATGTTTCTTTTCGATAAGTTCCAAATCGTTTTTCGTCCATGTCATCACAACAGGGAGAGCATGTTCCACTTCGTAATTACGTTTTATCCTCACTAGCCACTATATTACACGCCATGCAGTCTTCACGGGTACAGGTCAAGTGAACAAGTGACCGCCTCCATTAAATTGCAATGAGCTAGAGTTAAACGAACCTTGGGCAGTTGGGAAAACCCTTCCAGGTAATTATTATTTAGAATTATACTCGAAGCAACAATTTTGGTTGGCTTCTGATATATTCCTTGATTCCTCCTCCCCTACCTCCAGCATTTGGTTTTCAAACAAATAACTAATATAGTTTGCATCCATCTTTCTAGAGATTCCACATTGTTTGGGAAGGGAGCGGGGAGGTAGCCAAGTTTCCTCATATCACAATGAGTGGCTCAATTTTTTTTATCTCCATTTTAAGTCGGGTTTTTTTAATTTCTGTTACAGCAATTTAGTTTTAAAGAGGCATTGTTTCCTTATTTTGAGCATTCATGCTATTACCATCGAACGTTAACATTCAGCAATACTCGCTGTTAACGTTCCTGTGTCATACCTCGAAATGCGGACACTCTGGAGAGAATGGGACCAGATACCTGGCACCATGATTTCTTTGCGATATTGTTGGATTATTCCTGCACTTCTGACAAGACTCAATCCCTTCGTACATTAGAAGAGAACCTTCAATCTTTATTCCTTCACTTTTCCATGCCTGAAAAAAAAGCGCGATAAAATGAAAGGAGAGAATATAGGCGAAAATCTCGAGCAAGCGGCCACCCTCGGAAATGGACTAACGGATGATAAAAGGCCTTGAGGGCCATGGGACCTGTTTTGTGAGCAGTGTATGTTTCCGCCTACGCTTATTTATTAATTTAAGCGAAAAACAAAACAAAAAATAATGAAAATGGATTGATTTCAGTGCAGTGCCTTGACAAACTGAAATCAACATTTTACTTGATTGCACTTTAATATATTTCAGCGTCAATATTCGTCTCACATGTACCTCATCAATGGGGGGTATAGGATTAAAATAAGGCCAGAGAGTCACTTCATATACAAAGTTTGCTTCTTAGCTGATGAGGGATACCTAGGATAAGACAGGGGTTGATGCCAAAAGGAAAGCACTACCCAGTCCCTACTTTCTCCTTTCTGGTAAACTCTTGCCCTTTTAATGCCATTTTAGGGTCGCTACTTCAAGCAAGTAAAGGAGGACACAAAATACCTGGGGTCCAACAGGAAATGATCTGTCTTTAGACCCACTGGAACTAAAAGTCGAATACGCAATCTGGCTGCTCATTTGTCTCATCTTTGTGGTCTCCAGTAATACCTTATCCATTTTTCCCTTGTCTGTTTAAAAGTAAATAAGTTTTATAATATACAGTACCAACAAGTATCACGTCAGAAGCCCAGGGCTTCTTGTATCACCTCTGCTAATAAAACCTCTGGGTCTATGTGCAGCAGATTCAATTTTGGAGGTGATTCACTTGACCACAAAAGATTTCAAGTCAGTGCCATCAGTACAAGGGAAGGCACTATCATCCTGGGTATGTAGCTCTAGGGACAATGCTCAGTCTGCTTCAACACTTATTCACTCATTTTCTTTTCTTTTGTTTTCATTCTTCCTTTCTTTGATTCCTTCAACAAAGTTATTTTTTCACTTTTTCAAAATGAATTATTGTTTAAAATACTTACTGGTTACTTTTATGACGTACTAATGGATCGAATTCTTAACTGATAATTATAATGGAGTGTAAAATTAACCTGTAAGCGGAAACGCATATCCATACGTTGCAAAATAAGTAACTTGAAGATGTTTGACAACCAGATCCAAAGATTCTTCCTGCAAGAAAATAAAGAAACTACAAACTTGAAAGGTCAGCCCTATGGCTTTGTGCCTATAGGGTTACCGGGGTACATGTAGTATTAATTGGGTTAATAATAGCTCCACGCGGGTTTATAAATGGCATAATAATTGAAAGCTATATGCAACTAGCAGTAACCAACGGTTAAGAAGTGCGGTTGAACATGTGCGTTTACCTTAGAGGTGCAATTGATTTTGAGAACCGCTTTCACGATTACGTGAATTTATAAGCTGACTACGTGGATTCGAAACAAACAAACATGTTGTAATTGTTCTTCGGAAGATTACGGCTGGGACATCAGTCATCAGATGGAACCTAAACTCAACACCAGGGCCTTCGCGGTTAGATTCCATGCATATTAGTGGTACAACATGGGCATCCCAAGATTGTGGACAGATTTTGCAAAAACCTCTCTATACAGTTTCTTACACTGTGCCGCTGACCACCCCACCAAGACTACGACTGTGGGCTCGTATTTTGCTCGCCCGCAATCACAGATTTTTAAAAACAGTTTGCATTATATCCCACAAATTGCCAATTGTGTATGCACCACCATGAACTCAGTTGTCAATAATAAGGAAAACCTCATTTAAGCAGAAACAGTCTGCTTTTACACATAGCTTCCCTAAACTTTTATAACAAATTTCCCACAATGGTTAATTCCGCATCAAACGTTAACTATAATTAATATACCGTGAAAATTTGACATTTTGAGAATTTCCAATTTCATTTCTTGATGAAGAAGGACATGCAATGTTCTTGACGCCATTTTTAAAACTGTTTAACTATTTGATAACATTACATTGTAAATGGTACCTACTTCAAAAGAAAATTTTTAAAAAAGACATTTTCCTAAAATCCTTACATTCAGTTGCAGCATCTTACGTTCCATTCGTGATCTTCGAGTTCGGGATCTTCTTTCATTTGTACCCTATATCAACAAATAGTAAAACACCTTCTTCAGTTTCACTACACATTATTCTAATTATACCTGAGAAGAATCAACCCAGGCAGGCCCAGGAAAAGTACTGAGAAAAGCAACACACCGCAAAGTGATCAGCGACTATCGTAAAAGTCTTATATACTTTTAACTGATGACGAGAGCTCCATATATTTTCAAGGGGATAACTTGAAAAAACGTTTTACTTCTTTTCAAGTTCACAGGCAGTAGCTAGGACTCATGTTCTTATGGTCCACTTCTTTTTCCTTGGTCGAAAGGAAAGCGAAAATATTGGTTTAACTATTCATAAAATTAGTCATAAAATAATATATTGTATTGTTGCTGTCATTTCTATTCAATAATAATAAATCAACTAAAAAGGAATATTTCATGTCGCTACATCCCACTCTAAGGGCCTGTTTACAAGGAGAGAGTTACCCTGTGCTAGGTTTACTCTAGTAAGCCGGTTAAAGTTAGTTCTGGTTTACAAGCAAATTTCACAGGTAGGGTTACCCTAACACCCGGGTCAACTTTGCCAGCTTTACTGACGTGTTTCGTCATGCGTGACATTCTTTGCAACGGTCCAAAATTTGAAAATAGAAATACCTTATCGCAAAAGTCTCGCGAAGCTAAAATGGGTCGGCAATGAGAATAAGCCAAAAAGTAAAAACACGATGTTAAAAAAAAAAAAAGAAAAAAAACCTGCGAGTAGCCACGCCGAGATTTGAACCTGCACCTCAACCTCCTCCAGCGCAAAAAGTAAGCCTGCATGCAACTGGGCTATGCGACCACTACGCAAAGACCATTTAAAATTAATAGCCTTGAGGCATTAAAATATTTTTTCTCTACCATTCACACTGTTTGAACTTTATGGAGGTGTTTTATCATGAATTCAAATATACATTTGAGGAAAAATAGCTTAAACAACTATTTCAAAGCCACTTCGCATTATTTCCTTGTTCATTCACTCTCAGGCTTTATAAGAGCCGCTCGATGAACGTACTCGTCTTCTTTGTTGCTCTCGCTGAAGTTTAGGTTGCCTTTCTCTCGGTGTTTAAGTGATAGCCACAGCAAGGATTTCCAGCCCCTTGTCGAATCAGGCAATGTTGTGTTTGCAGCCTGCTGTTATTTGAGCAAAAATACTTAGCGATTCGCCAACGAACGTGCAGCAAACAGAGGATGAAAAATCTGGTCGGTGGCTAACCAGTTGTTTTGCCTGGAATACAAAACTGCACGATGACGTCATGCCAAATGGCGTCTTCTAGAGTTTCTTTATGGTTTGTTGCTAGGCAACTGCGGATACCAAACCAATAGAAAGATTTATGACCAAGGCGAAATCGCACTCCGCTTGCGATCCTCGCGCGATAAGCGCACTGCGCGTGCTACAAAATTATAAAACCCGATCCGCGAGAATAATCTTGAAGTTCTTTATGGAAAACACGTCAATTCCAAAAAAAGGAAAAAAAGTGTCACCGTAGACAGGAAAAACCTTTTTATTTTTCAGATGTTTATGATTAAGCTCAAAAATTGGATAATACCGTTCAAATTAGCACAATTACTGGTCACGCATGACGGCGGAAGGTTGACCCGGGTAGGCGAGTTATCCTCAGCTGAGCGTTTACAAGGCAGGTAGTGTAACCCTCTTGCTAGGGTAACCCTAGCACACATTGACAAGTGTATGCGACGGCTACAGCCAAATTTAGTAGTTAAATCGTTGGACTTACTGTTCGACCACGACTGCATACTCTCCAAAGCCAAAGCAAACCCAATATAAGATTTGAGATGATATTAAACGGAACAGGAATAGGGTGATAAGAACTGTAGGTCTGAATTCTGATGGCTTTCTTGAAAGACCACTCCTTCAAAGAATTTTCCTGAGAAATAAATAGAGATAGTAAGTTGCACCCCAACTCAGTTTAACATGAGACAGATATAAATCTAATATTCGTTATAAAAAAGTAGATTCCAGTAGACGGTTTCCTTAGCTTTTCTAGCCCGTGATGAAGACTAGTTTTGTCTAGTCGAAATATTGGGCAAATATATGCATAACCCTTAACTGTCCGATCAGCCTTACCTTCAATGTTTTGGCCTAGAATTTTCTATTACTTGAGGCAGGATTTAACGTTCTAGATGACCGTTCCATTCAGGTACAATTTTTGAAGCTCATGTAAAAAAATTCCCCAAGAATTTCTGAAGTTTAATTTCAGTCACATTTCACTCCCAAGATTAGGTTATTTTTCTTTAAAAAACGAAACCTAAAATTTCCGATTCAAAAATGCGATGGAATTTCCCACAGAATGACAGAACAGATACAAATTTTTATAGCGCCGCTTAGAATCCGACTTAGAATGCATTTCAAGGGATCTAAAAGTAGTCTGGATAGTCTTGAAGATGTTTCCATTGCATTTAGGAGGAAACCGTCGTTGGGTGCCCATGTGCTTTAAATCGCACCATTTTTGGTCTGTATCGCATAATTTTTGTCTTAAATACAAAAAGAGATGTAAAAGCCTTTAGGTACTGCGAATATATATGTATATATTGGTACTGCGAACTGAATTATGCGATTTCATAATGGCCGTAATAAGGTAGGAATTGAACTTCATGTTGTAAAATCGATCTCGCTATTTTGAAATCGCGCGTATGATTTCAGACTGAATTGTACTCCACTCAGTTCATTTACCATAATGAATCAGATTATGGATTTATCAGATTTATAACGAAAAATTACAAATAATAAACATCACCTTTAACCAGTCAGGATGAGAGATTCTGGCCCTTTTTTATGGGGTACCAGATAGCATGGATGGGCGAAAGCGATTCCACTATGTTTGGACCACAAGAATAATTTTTGGTTAAGGGAAAGTACATAATTCTATATTCAAATTACGTGTATTAAATCGGAGACTTAACAGCCAGGTTGTTTGCTTATTTGCATGGTTATTGTCTGCTGAAACAAAAGGCATTGTAACTTAAAGGCATATATTGTGTTTGCTTTTAAGAATTTCTGAAACAATTTTAACCGGGACAACGAATACATATGAATAAATGATTTGACGAGTACTGAATCGGTAGTATTTAAAACTTAATCTTTATCTCTCTCGCCTATTTGTTGAGCAGTTTAAGATCAGAGGGACTTTGATCGATTGGTTTGTGTTTATAGGCCCCAAAAACAAAAATTCTCAAACACAGTAAGGTTTTTGTCTTTCCAAATCCTGTATAAAATGCTAACTTGATCGTGAAGTGAATCGTAGTCTGTTTACACATTCGTTAATCTTTCTCTTATTACATATGAACGCGCAGTTTGCTGTATTAAGATTAAAATAGAAGGTGTTTTATCAATCCGTTTATTAACGCAATTTGCTTTGCTAAAGCAGAGATCGGATTTAAAAGAAATTAAAAGTGAAATAACAAACTCCGCTTTTAACTGAACAATCAGATTGTCTTACGTAGCTGCTCAAGAAAACCTAGTTTCATCATGATCGTTGATCGCCAAACAAACAGCCGACAAAGTCTAGTAATCTGAACTTTTATACTTTGTTAGCGACCGCTACGATTCGTTGAAGCGCTGTTTTTCAGTTAATCGTTGCGATCGTTGAACTTTTTTGATCATCGATCGTAGCGATCCTAAATCAAGAATGAGTCTTTATCAGAAGGTATCTTTTCCCGTGCGAGAACGTCTTATAAATTGTTTCAATTAAGGGGTAGGCTAGCAAGAAGGTTATTTTGTATTCCTTGATAATTCTTACGTAGACCCTTTTCATCTCATTCAATTGCAAATTACTGAATAAACAAGTCTCAAACAAAGAAAAAGAACTATCCAATCAGTCTGATCTGATTTGGTGACGTTAGTCTTCCTGATTGGTTGACAATTCCTCTATTGTTCTTTCTCTATATATTTGCGATACCACCCGGATGGTTTGGGCGGATCCGTAAACCACTGCACAGTACACACTTCTCCATTATATTCAATCATTTTCCCTTGGACCCTTGAATTTCAATGAAGCTTCCCAGCCTCGTGCTTTCGATTACCCTCGTACACTCAGGGCAGCTGAATATAAGTGTAAACAAGTAAAGCTATTCATCTGTTCCATTGTGATGTCAGTGTAAATACCAGGTATTTGTGAAACGCAAACTGGTTGTAACCTTGCGAACAATCAAGAGGGTAAAGCGCTCAAGGCAGTTAATACGTTGTGTTTATGAAACTAAAAAGGTATCACACAGATGGACTCATTACAAAGCGTGGTACCTGCAGTCTAAATCTTTGCATTTCTGCATGACAAAACAGCAGAAAATGAAGAATTTTAGGGAGCATTAAGGGATTATTGTCAAAGCAGGATTGCTCAGTTTCTCCAATTTACGCCATGGTCGGGTCAAATAATGGTACAAATATGGATAGCAATCGAAAATTAATATCAAAGTGCACTCAGAACACAAACGTGGTAATGCAGTGAAATTGAAATATTATCTTCAACTGAGATCAAAATGGTTTATAGAATATACTACATAAATAAATGACGTTTGTGAATCGCAGTAATTCCCGCTCATCATGCTTATTTTACCGAATGGATGGCACAGTATAAAAAGCTACTGAAGGTCATACCTCAGATTTCTATCAGATTTCCCCCAACTGATTACAATAGGGCCATTTATACGAGGAAAAATAAGACGCGAACTGTACCATTTATACGAGCATGTCTTATCTAATAAGACGCGTCTTAGCTAAGCCGCGTCTTATTTTAGACGAAATGTGCCGTTTATCCCAGGGGGGTTACTCGGGATTTCAAGGGATTTTTTGGGGTTTGAAATTTTCGATTCCGGGATTTTTTTAGGTACGAAAATTTGGCAAGTATTTTTTTGGGTAGCTTGATTTGAGTAGGGATTTTTGGGGGGTATTAACAAGAATCGGTAGTGCCCTGGCTGCGTAGTTCTGCGAAAGTACAAACAAACGTGTTTTGCTGTTGTTTAATAGTTAACTATGGTGTCGCTTTACATCGCACGTGTTATACAATAGTCTGCATTTTTGGTCCAGGAGTTTTTTGGGTTTTGCTGGAAGCCCTAGGGATTTTTTTGGGTCTTGACTTTAGGCTCCATTCGATCATCCCCGTCACTTGATTTCCAGAGTACCCCCCCTGGGCCGTTTATACGGAAAGTTCGCGTCTTATGTAAGACGCGTCTTATTTTTCCTCGTATAAATGGCCCTAATGTCTCTCGACAAGAGGACCAAGACAGAATGAGGTTTCCGACAATGTGTAATTAGGGTCTAATTACTGTATATTCGCTCTGGTCATATCGCGACATGCACGGCAGTCATAAGTCTCACTGAATTTCCTCTGAAATTTTCTTTCGGTTAACAGATGTTTGTTTACAGTGTTTAAGCCGTTTGGATGCATTTTACGAACGGGCACGCGAGGAAACGCGTGCTTGGATTGGTAACGCCCCGGAAAGGCCCATTAGGGAACTTAAGTGTTCGGTACATGGGGCTTAGCTAGTAGAGGGGAAAAATTGTTCATGGAAACGTTACTACCAACTTTTCTATTTTGGTTTTCCCTTCAAAATGGCTTGGGCTTCCAGCTAAGGAAAATCGACTAGAATATGTCGATTCGCGGTTCACAAACGCCTTATGAACGCTCACGGTAATATATTAGCTGCGAGCAGTCTCTTATTTTTCTTTGCAAAGTTACTGCACGCCAAACTCAAGCAGCGCGTTTTTTGCGATTGCACTGGCTGAGATAATTACTAGACTTATTTTAAGAAGAAAAGGCGGACTGCAAGCAGTTTATACTTTATAACACCTTTTGAGAAGATGGCAACTGATCCAAGGCAAAACGCTTTCGGCTTCCACGCTACTGTTAATTGGGTTTTCAGAATTTATTTAATAATGATTTAAAATAATTCGAACTTTTGAAGTCCAACTCGAAGTTTAACTCGGGGAAGTCCAAATCGAACTCGAACTCGAACTCGATTGCAAACTCAAACATCCCTACCAAAAGGGCTAACAGATGAATTTTATGGCGTTAAAAAGTCTTTTAAAACGTCCTTTTATGTGATTAATTCCTATTCGAAAGATTACATTTGCAGCAGTAAAAGGGGATGCGAAGTTCTAAACAAGGTATGTGAAAGGGGTACCATTTGTCAATAGAAGGTATACGAAAGGGGTACCTTTGTTGTGAGAAATGGTGTAAAACAGGGTACGGGGTTGGACCTCAGGTGGGAGCCTCCCGGATAAACATTTTTTAGCCCGCCCCCACCCCTCCCTCCCTCCCTCTCCTCCCCCCAAAAGGAACGGAGTAAGATTCACATATCGCATTTCCGACGACAATTTAAAATGAATAATTTCGTTTTGAATTCGAACTTTGACTCGAACTTCAACTCGAGCTCAAACTCGAATTCCAACTCGAATCCAAACTCGAACATACTTCAACTGGATGCATAGATAGCAAAATTTTAAATATTATCCATGGCGCTCCGCTATGCTTCAATTATTTTAACTTACTTGAACTCGCTGGTAAGTGCTGGACAGAAGTGCTATCATCATGTTGACAAGCAAGATAACTCCCATGATGAGGTAAACACTATACAGGATGCGGACCACGGTCACTGTCGCAGCGTCAGCTGAATCCAAAGGATCAAGTTCCACAATACCAAGCAAAGACCAACAAAGATGCTTGACTATTGCCCACCAACTATGAATATGAAAGTACCTTCGAATTGAACACTATAGCTTCGTTTTTACGGAATTTTAAGTCTTTTATAAATTGATGATAAAAACCGTTTGAAAAGTTTTATATCGGTTATCTTGACAACTTAGTAGCGCTTAAAACTTCAATTAAGAAAAAAACGCGCCAGAAAAAAATCTTTAAAAGTGGCTTGTCAAATGACAAGCGTATTTTAGTCCCCACTTTTGAGTATGTCTTATTCACTCGACCCAGTACCGACTCATCTTCAAAACAATCACCTCGATGTCATAGGTCCAGTTATAACAGCTATCGTCAACATTTAAAATTTTGAGTATGTCTTATTCACTCGACCCAGTACCGACTCATCTTCAAAACAATCACCTCGATGTCATAGGTCCAGTTATAACAGCTATCGTCAACATTTAAAATTTTGAGTATGTCTTATTCACTCGACCCAGTACCGACTCATCTTCAAAACAATCACCTCGATGTCATAGGTCCAGTTATAACAGCTATCGTCAACATTTAAAATTTTGAGTATGTCCTATTCACTCGACCCAGTACCGACTCATCTTCAAAACAATCACCTCGATGTCATAGGTCCAGTTATAACAGCTATCGTCAACATTTAAAATTTAAATGATTTAGCTGAGCACCTTACTATTTGTCTTTACGCCTTCTCAAATACTAGCCGGCTTGTTTTCTCCCCTCATCTAATAGATTACAATATAAAGTTCCTTCTCTTAATACCGTGACTTATGGCTACCGCTCGTTTTCATATTATGCACCGAACATCTGGAACAGTTTACCTAATCATATCGAATACTATGAATCTGTTTCCACTTTTATGCAACAATTGAAAACTTTTCTTATTAGAAACAATTACTTTACAAAGTTCATTTTCATTTAATGTACTATTGTAAGTGCATTGAGAATTCTCTTAAAAGTCTAATTCATGCATGGTTGCCACGGTTTTTAAAACTCCCTGGCTTTTCCCTGACTTTTTCCGGAAAATGTTAAATTTCCCTGACCAACTGATTCAACATTTCACAAATTATTCCTAACAATGGACTCAACCCACCACTCACAGTCTGATCCCCTCCACCATTTATTTATACTTATTTTAAGATTTACTGTAGCTCTGCCATTGATTTTCCCGTGTGTAATTATGATAATATTTTTTGTTTAATTATCTAACTGAGGGAGCCCATTCCTTATAAGCCAGGTGGCTTCTCTTAGGCTTCCTCGCCATGAGAGTTTAAGTAATTAGATTTTATTTGAGTTGTACAATTTTTGGCAAACAAAACAATAAACAATAAACAAATAAACAATGGTTTTAGCAAGACACATGTAATGTACATGAAAAGGTAGTTCCATAATATAATGTGTAAACAAGATTGACTTTTTGAAAACACAACATCAGCATGTTGTTCAATTGAAATGAGCAATATTCTACAAATACAACATGATTCATGTCCGTAAAAATGTACCAATGTACCTTTTAAATTTCACTTTTCTGTGACTTCCTAAAAAGACCTGTATTTAGAAGGCCAATGGATTTGTTCCGATAGATTAACATAGCTATTAATGGTCTAAAACTGAAGTTACCGTACAAAAATTTAAGAGATTTTTTGTTTGTTTGTCTCAAAAGACTCTTGTAGCCTCAAAGCAAAGTTATTTATTATGATAAATGAAAAACTGGATAAACCTACCAAGAATAACCAATTGCATTGCAAGCCCTGAAATGTAAGAAAGAAAGTTCTCAACTCTGCTAAACGTTAGCGACAACGGTTGAACAAGCACATATGTTACTTGATTAGCCACTCTTAAAAGCTAAAAAGGTTCGTTTACTTACGTATTCTTGTCTCTGTTTTCTTTTTCAAGATATGATTTTTCTGCCATATAAACTTTAGTAATGGCAATGGAGAATGCTAGGATAGCCGCTATGAACTGCCAAAATATAGCCACAACATCGCTGACGATATGAAACAATGCAATCTGAATAGAGCCAACTTCTCTCGTGTTTTCCATCATGTGACCGAATGCTCTGAACGTTAGAATCAGGGTGCTGAGGCCATAAAGGTACCCAGTAATCAGAAGGACTCGGTCGTTTTCCACTGAATTGGATAAGCCCCACGTGACCATTCTCAATACAAAGATAACAAGGTAGATGATAAGTGTCGTGAGATCTAAGACGTTCCACTGATCACTGCAGGGGAAAAAATGGACTATTTTAGTAAAGATAAATTCTTAACCCCTCACAGAAAGCCAACAAATTAACACTTCCGTCTAAAAATTGAACCCGTAGTTGTACACTGTTTAACGGAAGCTTTTGTTCTTGTACACACGCATCAAGGTACCTTGACTGATTCGAACATTTTCAGATGGCCATGTTCAAAAATTCACTAAAATGTATCCCGAAAACTCGAATTCCGTGATTCTTCCGTGATTCCGTGATTGTAACTCCATTTGGATGCCATCCCCTAGCACCTTTTTTTCGAACCCTCGCTTGCGTTAACTGTTTTAAGTTTCCCTTCAGAGTTCAAATTATCGGGGTTCTACTGTTTATATACCTCTATATTAAGAAAAAAAACAATAAATAGAATTTAGAATAAAAGCGAAAGACCAGCATCTTATACAGCAAGCAACTGGCCTAATTCAATTATAATTTTCACTTAGACATTATTATTAAACAACAACAATCTTGAACGAACTTCATGCAACAAGTCCACACAATTAGCAAAAATTCTATTCTAGGCCGATCAATTATAGTTTACAATTATATTCACATTAAAGAAATAAGCAAGAATCGAAGAGAAATTAAGAAAGTTACGGAGCACCAAGATTCTTGTCCGTTCTCGTGATCACATACATACTATTATATTTACCAATATCATTTTCTTTGAACACTGCGTAAATAAGTACCATATTATCAGAGGTTATATACCTTAAATACTTTGAAAACTTCTTTGTTGTTAGTGACGTCGGACTTGTTTTGCGGCTGCTTCCTTGTGGTTCAAATGATACTTCAATTAAATCCATTGAACCGTCAAGTGAAATCCCTTCCTCTTTAACACGATGAACTTTTATATCACCAAACTGCTTGCTTTCCATGACTATTCTTCCCATGTAGAAAACCCAAATGGCCCACTCTAACCTGCTGAACGAAATGCTTGATGGGGCTAGGCAAACAGCAAAGTGGAGGCCAAGATGGATCAGGTAACTCATTGTATCGCGAAGGAAGATGAAATAAGGAGTATTGAAGTACTGGAGGTACCAATCTATGGAAATAAAACAGAAAGGAAATCCTCGCATTCGGAAAGTGGTAAAAAGTGTCGTGACTACTATATATTTACTATTAGGATAAACATAGATTGGATGGTATAATGTCAGTACTGGGCTGATATCTTAGGTGCGTTCTCGTCATGTTATTCAACAAATGAGCAGTATGGTCAATACTCAGTATTGACCATACCTCATTTCATCGACCATACCTCTTTCATTGTCCCGAAATTCTCAATGACTAGCTATCCAGGCATGCATTAAAATGATGGAATGTCGGCTAAGTTTAACGCGCTACCAGGACTTAATATAACTTTTATTTGGTTCAAGTTCTATAGATGCTGAATACTCAACGTTTTATTTGGAAAGAAATCGCATGGCCGCCCGGACTTTTAGAAAGAAAAACAACAACAAAGTCGTGTCTTTTTCAACTTTATTTTTGATGTTTACACTCACGTGGATAACAGCGTTGTAGTTGCGCAAAACAACGGCAAAGAAAGACAAAAAGCGTGTTGCACGTGCAATTTTTTTTTGCTAATTAGATCGATTGATCTTGATGCCATTTTCTTTGCCGTCCCCGTTTAGCATTACACGATTTACTTTTTTTTGTTTATAAGTATTATTAACCAGAGCTTCGCTTTTAGCCCTGGCTAAATCTATATATTATTATTACAAAATCACGTGCAATTATATTACTGCGCTTTTCACAAACATGCGAACTCTAAAGTTCAAAAGCCGCCTTCACAATTGCGTTTTTCACTGCCGTCAATCATAATTACGATCACAAGCAACGAACCTTGAAACACAAAAAACACACAAAACGGATCGAAATCCACCAATCACAAATCACAAACCTTGACCTTTTGAACCCGTTTAAGTAAAGTTTTGTTTCCTAAGAGGTCCGTTAAGATGATTGACAGCAGCGAAAAGCGCAATCGTCAGTTGGCTTTTGAACTTCAAAATTCGCATGTTTGTGAAAAGCGCAGTAAAATACAATTTTAAAGTTCATCAGAGCGTGGTTTTCACTAGCACTTAAGCATAAGGATTTACGCACGCGCAGAATGGCACATTTGACTTGTGCTTATGCTTATGCTTACGTCGACCCAGTTTTCAATCGCTTACACATATGTTTGTGCTTGTGCTTATGCTTATGCTTATGCGCTAGTGAAAACCGGACTTTAACTCACCATATATGTCGCTTTTGTTTATGTACGCACCTGCAAAATTAAAAGGGACAAGACTGAAACATACGATTTTGTTGTTGCGTACTACGTGTTGTGCTGGCGAGTAACTGTCAAGCCCAGGAAATTGTAAATGAATGAAATGTTCGCTTTATTGTATAAACGTTTTTAATTTTGTTTGCTTGTTTGTTTGTCTTTTTGTCTGAACCAAATTACCTATTCGACTGGCCAAAGGCACCATGATGGTAATAAGGTAGCAGATTAACACATGTTAAATGAATAACATCTACATGTAATAAGGTAATATCACGACTTTAAGACTGTATCGAACTGTAAGAGGTTAAGAATAAAAATTAGTTGGATTACAAGTAAGATCGTCCGGGTCAAGTCTAGCTTTTTTGTGACAGTCACTGAAAACCTTTCGACGAGTTTCATCAAAATCAGAATCAAATGAAAAAGGCTTACTAGGAACTGGTCTTACCTTTTCTGTTTCTAATCTTTTTTCGCACAAAATGGTAAGTTCCAAAACCCAAGAAGAGGAAAGGAAAGAGTACTATATCGAACAAACACCAGATATTGAGAAATCCCCATGTCCAGCGTTCCTTGGTTAACCAGGATTGTTTTCTCTTCATTCCTAGTTCACCGTGCCATTTCTCTGACATCAGGGTATTTATAACAGGATGAGCAAAAAACTGCAAATAAAGCATATTAACAAGAGTGATTTGCAATATGAAATTCCTTATAACGTATCAGTGGATCCTCAATGTGAATCCTGACCTCTCGATTATTTGAATTGCACATCTGGCGACCAATGGAGAGCAGACAATTGCTTTTACCGAATCAGCATTTTGGAAGGCATGGTCGCTTGTTGGAGGTATGTCTTCAGAATGTTACTCATTCTTTTGGTAGTCTTGGGTTAAACATTTAAATGTTTAGCATGTCTGTCCATGGAAAGCCGACACCGAATCCTTTAACTACTATTATAACAGTATCTTCCTAATTCTATATAGAGAATACTTAATGGAAAGTGTGGGCGTACGGTATTTACGCACGAGTTGTTGACGTATCAGAAATCGAACGAGTGAGCGCAGCGAACGAGTAAGATTTCTGATACAAAAACAAGGAACGGGTAAATACCGTACAAAGCACTTTCCATGTGGTATTGTGTTTTAGGAGTATATTGTGTAGGCACTAAGTAATATACTGGCACAGAATTGACCTTAAATTATAGCGATATCCTCGTGACATAGTCCCTTTAAGACTGATAAAGTTCGCATTAAACTATGCTTTTAGATTGCAAAACTATAAGGCAAGTCCCTGGCGAGATTCGACCCAAAAACAATCTTAATGAGAACTGAGACTCGCGTTTAGGATCACTTACGTTTTTCTGTTCGAATTCAATTGCAGCTTCCAGGACGTCATTAATAGCTGATTTCAAGAAAACGTCTCGAATTCGTCCACCTGATCTTAGAGGATCGAAAAGGCGGAAAATGAACTCATCTAAAGTACTGGCCATCTTCGTCAAGTCTTCTTCGTCTGGTCCTTTTTTGCCAGCTAATCTACGAAGTTCGAAGTTCATCTGTGACATAATAGCAAACAGAAAGGTCAGTATTCACCAATGCCAGTGGTGCAAAAGCTGGGTAGTGCTATCCACCAGATAAATAACTTTCCAGTTGATAAGTACAGGGAAATCAATCAGCTGGTCCCAGAAACAATGACTAATATTTTACGGATTGTGGCGCAATCCCAAGTTGGAAGACTACGCACTGAAGTGCCGTATCAAAAAATGTTTTAAAATCCTCAGTTATTTATAGGGTGGATAACGCTACCCGCAATGGTGTCCCTAGTCTCTGCACTTTCCGCTGGATAATGATGATGGATAGCGCTATCCAACTTTTGAACAACCAGAGCCTAGAAGGGGCATGTCTGAAGAGTAACAAATCAGACACTAAAGATTTGGGCTGTCTTTCCACTGGCCTTTCACAGCGATGATTCTGCTACCGTTATACAGACTTAACTGTAAATATATTTCTTACAATTCTTTGAGGACATTTATATGGTTCCGAAGAATATAGTCAATCAATGTGTAGAATAACAATCAGAAGTTTGATTCAAAATGTGGCAGCGATACCTTTTTGCTGTTTCTCTCTAGCACTAAACACTAATTTGAATGTGCCTATGTTTTTACAGACAGAAAAGTAGGAAAAAGCGATCAAAATTCTCCTTTTGTAAATTAAATCAGCTAGTTGTCAGTTTCAATAATGCGGCAAGTGAATTATTACCTCCATTGCCATCAACAAAGCATTTTTGGAACACTTTGACAAGGATCTTGGGGAAAGTTGGGAAATTATTTCATCGATGTCGCCCTTCTTAATTGTCTTCCTCAAAGAATCTTCAAAGGCTGGTCAATGATAAATAGCTAATAATCAGAACTGGTTAAAGATAAACTTGACAAAGTATAAAGTAGTATTATGATTTGAATATTTAAACAGCTAAAGTATTTCTTATACCAAGCAATAAAAGAAAATAGATCTCATAAACTAGCAGCTAGTAGGTTGAATAATGTGTAGTCAGCAATAATATAGTGTAGTCACACCTATATAAAGAGACCTCAAAGGGAGGCTCTCACTAGCTATGGAGTTTGAGTTTAAAAAAAACACAAAAATTGGAATCGTATACGAAGTTATAAGCTCGAAGGACGTATCAGAAAGGTTCCTTTTTTTTCTGACTCGACCCGTGACTCCGAAACTATTTATCGAGTGTAAAATCCACATTAATATCAGAGACGCACGCAGAAGCAGAAGAATAAACTTAACGCAATATTCGTCGCCGCTTAATTGATTGGTTAACTCACTCCCTTCAACCTGCTTGATTTCAGAAGATAATTTCACTTAGACTGAAAGCCAACAGGTCATAAGGAGAACACTTATAATGGCCATTACTAGTTAAAGTCACGTGACATGTCACTTGACCAAAAAATGAAATTTACGGAAATTTTCGAATCTGTGGAGAATTTCTTTTGTTTGAATAAATAAATTATACCTAACTTTCTACGTTTGGAATAAATGTACGGTAAGTTTAAAACGAAAATTTTGAATAATTCAAGATTAGATTTGGGCATTTATGCTTCCTCTCTTTTTTTTAAACTCGCCACCAATTTGTCAATTATTTAATTTTTTAACAAAATGGTCACGTAACAGATAACGTGACTTGTCAACACAATATTTATACTTTAAAATGTTAAGAACGATCAGTTTATTATTTGTGGAAAATTTTGACTCAGCTCCATAATCTTTGCTGAAGTTATAGCCAACAAATCATTTTCAAAAGGGCCTTTTAGAACCAGATTTTATCTACTTGCAACCTCGTCTCCAGGGCGCTTTTCCATGGCTTTGGAGGTGGGGCACCCCGCGTACAAAGCCAGAGAAAAGCGCCCTGGGGACGAGGTTGTTCTATTTGAGCAGTCTTTACGAAAAGAACTTTCACAAACAAACAAGGCAAGCAAACTAATTATAACTCTCTACCCAGTCTTACTGGAAATTTCTAGTTCTAGCTATCTTACCTTTTCTTTTTCGCTTTTCTTCATCAGTTACAACTTGAAGTTCCAGCCAAGCGTAATACTCTTCCATGTTTTAAAGACAATATAACTGTTTAAGAGAACTCCAAATGCATCGAAAGTGTCAATAGCCTCTTGGTTTTAAAGTAGAGATAAAGTTTTCATACCTGTCACACACAGTTTTATGTCCGTCATACAGAGAGGAACAGAAAAAATAAAGAAAGTTGCTGATCAGAACCGTGGATCGTAAAAAGGCCCATAATGTTTTCAGTAGTTGTTTGGCCTGTTTTACTATTACACAATCGATTCTTCAAAGCGAAACTTGACCGTAACCGGCATGCGGGTAGCCTCTTTCTCACTGAGTATTGACAAAGACCAATGGTCACCTGTTCTGACTCCAACTGCAGTTACTTTTCTTTAATAGAAAAGCATTTGATCATTTGGGTCCTAGGTTGATTTTTACCCTTGAGGTTGGTCTACCTGTGGTTGATCGAATGACTGTTGCAGCCGAATTTGAATGTTCACTTCAGTCTATTTTTGTCTCCTTAGCCTGCGTAGCTGGCGATGAATTTGAAGTTTCTTATTATTTTTTTATTTTTATGTTCTTGTAAGAGCCTGTTTTCGTGGAGGTGGGGGACCACAGGTAGGTGAGATAACCCCCTTTGGTGGGGCAACCCGCCTGTCCATATAATCTATCACTTTAACTTGATCACGTTTACATGGGGGGTATGGTGGTGCTCATATGAAAGCTTATATGGACAGGCAGGTTACCTCACTTAACCGAGTTACCTCACCTACCTGAGGTCCCACACCTTTACGTAAACAGGCCCTAAGAGTCAGAGCGGCGGGGATCATGAACACCTCGCCCTTCCCCTTCGTTTTTCGTCGGTTGTATGTATTAGTTTACGAACCGAAAATGTAAAACCGAACCAAAAAATAAAACAGCAACAACCGCCAGCTATGCAGGTTATTGACTCCCGTACCGCGTGTAGCAGTCGCTGATATTCACTTACAAGCTAGGATCTTAATATGATTATAACCAGTGAGGTTAGTCTACATGTGCTCACGGATCGAACGAAATAAACAATTTAAATTCAAATTAAAATGGTTTTCTTATAATTTAACAAGCTCCAACACACTTTGCTGTATTATTTGAGCAATGGATTTTAAACGATGTTCATGATACGTTTCATGTTTGAAAAAAAGCTGCGTTTTCCATCAGACTACTGATGGTACAACAATGACTTTCCCACCGGTTTACCTATTTTCAGAACCTTTTCGGAACATTGGGTTCTGTACTTTACCTGAATCTCTCTTCAGTTACAGTTTGCATGTCAATTACTTTGCTTCAATTATAGTTACTTTATTTTAAGTCTCGCCTGCGAAATTATCAATCGATCCTCCACAATAGGGTACCGTCCGTTGAATCCACCCCTCTAGGTAATCAGTAAGTACAAGTACCTCATTTGATAAACCTATAAAGCTCTATCTATCGGTATTTTTCGAACCCAGTGTATTAAATATTGGTAATTCGTGATCTGTCACCAGAACTAACCTCATTTGCTGTAGGCTGGTTACGTTTCAAACCTCGCTAATTTTCAGAAACAACCGTCCTAAAAAATGATGCCCCAACGATTTCAAATGATTAACTGTCAGACCTGTAGATCGAGATTTGCAGTTTCTCGTTATGGTATTCAATAAGCAGGTAAACTTCACTGACATGTTGTGCTAAATACTATTGTAATACAAAGGACCTTTTATGAACAGTCTACATGATTAATCCCTAACCAATTGCACTGACTATTAATGAACTGACAAGCGTTTGTATAGGGGCCTAACAATCGATCCAAATTAGACTAGGGATAAAAGACTTAGTTTTAGCTTTTAACAAGGTTTGTGATACTGCATCAGTTCGAAAGTGAGGCACGATAATTTTTTTTAAATTAGATGAAACATGAAGGTAATATAAGACCCACTGATGTTACCTATTTCGGCTTATCACAGCTTACCAGTCCTGCAAGCAAGCTTTCCTTTTGATCCATTGGCGCAATAATTGGGCTAAACTAGCCGCTCGGGCGTCAGTTTGCGTTTTAAATTTGGAGTCTTTTGATAAGCCTCGAATTTGAGGCTGTTTCGGTAAGTTTGACTACCTTAGTTTATGGCATGGCAGTTATATAGACCCACGAGTTCAGATCAACTAATCGGCGCATAACGAAAGTTCGTAAACGTATTGCTTTTTGTTCAAGGCTCCCATGGGGCTCTTGCAGAATGTATGCAACTGACAGTATTTTCCGCCATAACCTATGAAATTAAGTTTACTGTCCACTATTATTGCTTTGCTTTCGCAGTTGTTCTTGTTAGAACTCGAGTGTATATTTTTACAAACAAAGACAACTAAGAGAAGACAGTAATTCCCTTTTTAACTCCGTAATTGACTGATCCACTCTTAAGGTTGCAAATACATTATAGGATAATTATGATAACTGACAAAGATTAACATAGAGGCAGGAACGGGAAGTGAGTGTTAATGTTAGCTTAGGGGAGGGGTAGGTGGGCAGTACCCTGACCCGGCTAGTGAGGCAGCTGCTTGTAAGGTCTCTCCTAGAGTTTTCCTTACTGAACTTCAAATAATATGCACATGTTACATATACTATTTTTTTTACCAGTGTTTATGGGATCTTATCGTTGTAAAAACAGGTGGTTGTAATATGAAATGATTGGTAAAACTGTGGAATTAGTGACCTTATTAAAATATCACACAAAAGCTATTCTAATCTTCAAAGTCAAAGTTTTTCGTATTGAACCTCCTAACCTCCGAATATAAGCCCCTCCAAATATAGGCCCCTCAAAAAGGGTCTTTGAAAGCCTTGGGGCTTATTTTCGGAAGGTTACGGTATTTAACTATAAGAAAAACGTGCGCTATTACTTTATTTAGTAATAATCCAGTAACTGTAAAGTACCGCTTTTTAGCCCTTCTCGTTAGGGGTCTTAGACGGGCTTATCAAAGGAAGGGCTTGTTATACTCGAGGAGCCTTATAAGCGGAATAGAAAAAGTGCTTCGAAACAAGCTCTATCAGTCCTCAAAAAAGTGCGTTTTGTGTATACTCGTTATTAATTGATCTTGAAAACGTCACAACAAATAGAATTCATTTCATTTATTATATATTTGGAACAGTACATAGGGGGCGGGGTTCTTACATTCCGAGGCGTTCGTAATAGGATGCATTTTTTGTTTACGGGTAGATGGGCCTACAACGGGGCCGATATAAGCGACGGTTTACTATATACGCGCCCGGGAGCTTTCAACATAAACTGCGACACCACTGAGTATGGCCAGATTTCATTGACAATCCGTTATCGTTACTATGGTTGAAGATAAAATCATTTATGGCAAGAAATGTCATTCTGAATTTTATTGCCTCCCATGGGAGCATCACCTTTCTACTCAGGTGTAATAACCTAATACCTCAATACCATTTTCTTTACACCCATTGTATTCTTAGAAATCCTTATCACTTGTGCAAGAGTTGAGAGTTAAGCTATCGATTGGAGGTTTCCGACCAAAACAAATCACAAATTAAAAGAAACATCTGAATAAATGGAAAACGATATCCTTTTGAATGACAACTAAATCTGTGAAGTTATTCATTCGTTTGGGTACAAAATAACAATAACATAGTCTGTATTCACTATTTCTATTCTAACTGTATAATCCTAAACAAAGGCTTTTATTAAAATATATACGCTGCCTTCTTGTATTTCCATCCCTATTGTATATTTCAAAAGAGTGCTTTCACCAGCAAAAGCCAAAGACGCCTCTTTATTGAAAGCGCCACAAATAATTAA